AGCAGCAAATCGTTGGAAATGTTTATTTGCTGCAACTTTTGTTAATAGTATACCTAATTTTCTTGCAGCCGCACTAAATTATATATGTGTATATGAATAGATATAAAAAGTAGCAGAAAGAGACATACTTTTCAGGTATCTCAGGTTCTTTAGCAAGTAATTTCTGACGTTGAATAAGCTCTTCAGTTTCCTGACGTTCTTCATCCTTATGTACGATTTGACCTGATTGATGTTGATAGTACATTGGTTGATCAGCAATTGGATTATAATTAAGTAACTTTTGAAGGACTATACGTGTTTTAATAGTAAAACTAAAAAATAGAATAGAGTATATCATAAATGTGTTTGTTTGAGTACATTCAAATGACTTGTATCTGACAGTATGGATTTCATCATACTGAATAGCAGATTTTATGATAATAGTACATGAGTATATTATACTAGGATAGTTATCTAGATGTTTTATTGAGATTTAGTACCTAATTAGCATTATTATCGTTTAGTACACTTGAATTCTAATTAGAGATGTGCAAGACAAGCACCGGTTCCGATAGCCGGAGCTGCAGCCAAAAAATAAAGCTTTACCAGAACCGGGATCATTGAAAAAACAGCTGCCGGGTCTAGATCGAGACCAAGAATATACTAGACTTCAGATTGCTTCGACCAGGACTAAAAAAATAAGCTACCGGGACTAGAAAAACCTGATCCAGAACATCTCTAAGATTCGACATGATTGATGTCAAGGAAATTTTTTCTTCTTATAATCAAACTTACTTAAAATTGCCTTTATAGAAAAGAAATAAATTGAGCCAAATTCCTTTAGTATTCCATTGCATTGGTTCAACTTTAAGAATAACAGGAAATGTATTTCCCATATCAATAGTTTCAACGTGAAGATCTTCAAGTACACTGACCTAAAAAATGAAAAAATTTATTTTTGATAATAATTTCAATGAAAAACTTACAGCAATTTCTTTTAATTTAAGTTCAATTTTTTCTTTTATTAAATCTTTAAATAATGGTTCTTCGAAAATATCACAAAATAATCGACGTGTAAGAAAATTTAATGTTACAGCTGCTTCATCGAGACAATCAGGTGAATTAAGTAAACGATGAAGGCTTTCTTCTTCTTTACGATATTTTTTCTTAGTTGTTGCTGTACGTTGTGTACCAGTAGAATCTTTATCAGAATCTTTTTTTTCTAATAGATCAACACGTAATTCTTGAGCACCAGTACGAGCTTGTGTCATATCACTAAGTATGTCACCTTCATTAATTTGACTTCGAAGTATTTCAGTTTCACTATTTTCTGATGATACTGTATCAGCATAAGGCGGACCAACTGTTTCAGATGATTTCATTTGTACACGATTTTCAAGATTAACTGTATTTGATTGCATTTGTGAAGCACGGGAACCTAATGTTGGAATTTGTGTATCAGAAATACTTTTAGCAATTGTATTTGATGTTGATAAATTCGATTTCTGACTATCATTATGTTCAATATCTGATTTACCTTCACGTAAAACAAGTGATAATCTATATATATTAAAAGAAAAAGAAAAAAATAAGAAAAGAAAAATTAACAATATACTTATGAAACCAATCTTCTTTATCCGGACCAGTTTCAAAAAATAAACTTATTGTTGTATGACTATTATTAAAAAAATCATTAGCATCAAATTTAGATTTTTCATAAAATTGTTTATTAACGATTTGTTTATTTGATATTTGTAAATTTTGTAAAACAATTGGATATTCATTTAGCCAATATTTTATACGAGTTAATGTCGCTTCTGGAACCAAAATTAAATTAGCTCCTAAATTAAAAAATAAATTTATACGTACACAAAAAAATTGTCAATTAATTGATAGAACTATTTCATAAGTGATAGTTATCGATAATATCTTTATGTGACCAAAAGAACTTTCTCTGCAGAATACAAAAGATTTAGTAGGTTGTGTTATCTATCATATTGAAACGTAGATTATCCTATCAAGTAACGCTCGTCTAAGGACTCGCTTAGCTCTTTCTCGTAGAAATGGTGTTCTACAAATACTACAGGATCTTTTGCTTATATAACTTGCAAACACTAACATCAGATTCGTGTTCCCCAATCTCAAAAAAATGGTCCTTTGTCTAAAAAAACTACCATCAGATTCGAAGTCCCTGCATCGAAATACCTCTAGAAATGTCTTTTCTGAATAATTGGTCTTCGACGTTTTTTGACCCTGCGGACATACAAGCAATCAGACAATTTATGTTTACTGGACTCATCTCTACGAGAAAGAGAATAACTTCCGTAATCTTATAGAGAAAATTTTTTCATCTGATTCTTATATTTAGAAATTCAAAATGTATTACGGAATCTTCTCTAGAATCAGACGATACACGTTAGTTCTTTGGGTACGATATGTATTTAATACGGCTAATTACCTTTAATTGTATACTCTCGAAATCCAACAAATTTAATTTCTTTATCTTTTTTCTCGTCTGCTGTCATAGTTTTCGTTGGTAATTGAATATTAAGACGATATTTATCAAGATGAATAATAGCTGGATAACGAAGAAATTCACCGTCTCGATCAACATCATATCGACCAAAAACAACTTCACAACATGTCTAAATAAATCATTTATATATATATACTTAAGAAATGAAATAGAAATTCTTACATATTGACTAGTATGTTTATCTGTTCGTGCAATTTTTTCTTGTAGTAAAGATTCTAATTCTGGAAAATCTATCCATTCATGAACAATTGATTCATCAGTTTTAGCATGAATATAAATTTTTATAATAATATAAGTAACAGCCATAGCAGATACAAAACCAAGAAAATAGCCACTGAAAAATGAGGATAATGGTTTCCATAACATTATATAAATTGAAATAGCACCCACAACACACTTTGAAATAAAAACAAAATAAATAAATAAATAAATAATATTTTTTCTCTTTTTTTTTGTTATAATACATACCAACACTGGGTAAATCACATCTCGTTTAAGATCATAATTAGATTCACTTGTATGATAACGAAATTTCGGTCCAGCTAATAACATAGTTGGTTTTCGTTGATGTTTATCAATTTTCATCACTGTTGTTGGTTTTACTATTGCATCATTATGATCAGTTTTATTGAGAATAAAATCATCGGAACCACTTTCACTAAGTGCTTGACTATGTCTGCGATTTACCTCATGAAGTATATTGTTCTTTATCATATCTTTTGCATGATCACTGTTCTCACTAAGAAATATATCTTGAAATGAATTACTAGGAGTTATTTCAGTTGTTGTTGTAGATGGTATATTTTCATTTGCTGATTTCTTTCCAAAACTACTGGTAAATTGTGATATGGAAAATGAACGTTCTGAACTCGAACCATCATCACCTAATTAATTTAAAAATAAAGAAATAATCATACTGCTCGTAATTGATGATAATACATTTCAATCAATGTCAACTAGTCTAAACTTCGTCACGGTTGTCTTTTCTCCTACAAACGATGATTTATTTTATATATATCTTTTCACATAAATTTGTCTGGAAGACATTTCGTGACATTTATTCTCATCACACAATTTGCATATTCTTTTTATCTCAATTATAAAAACAGATTATGATGTTTGGTTAATAGAATAGAAGAAAAAAACCGATTTATTCTAATTTTCTAAACTATTTCTATCGTGATAGAAACAATTTTTGTTTTTCCTTTAATATCTTACTAGATGGAAGTCTTTGACGGACTTCAGTTGGTGGTGGTGGAGGTTTTGTTTCAATAATTAACGAATCGTCTGATTGACTTGGGCGATAAAGAAATTGTACTTGATTGTTATTTGCATTATTATGTAATTGTTCTCGACGTTCAATATTCTCAGCAATATCTTTTTTAATATTCGTTATTCGTTGTCCAAGTTTTTCGAAAACACTAGACGTTTTTTTCGATTGATCTTGACTAGTCGTTGTGCTCATTTTATTTGAGCGTACAAAACTGTCGAATGTTAATAATGATGATTTTTCAGTTAACCGATAATATGTCTTTGTCTAGAAGAAATAACGAAAGAATATATACGTAGTTGTACTTGTATTACACAAGTAAATGCTAAATAATAGTGTGACAAAAGCAAGAGAACAAATGGCAAGAAATGAATGAAAGAAATCAAATAGAAAAAAAACCGTCATGCAGATAATGATTGGTTACAGAAGAAAAAAAAGAATGTTTGATGTATCGGTATAAATGAGTAATAAATAGTATGATCATCATCATATGTATAATGATTCACTCAAGGGTATCGGAGAGTGTATAATTTAAACTAAGGAATTAAAATAACTTTTCTTCTATTATCTAAATTTCAGTTTGGATAATATATAATGTAAATAATATACATTCGACTTATAGTATAAACTTCTTTTCATAACGGTTAAGATTTATACGAATGACTTTGAACTTATTTTACTTGAATAAATAAACGACGAATTCGTTTCATGATTGTCGTCAATGTTTAATTATAAAACAATAATTGCATGTATATATATATATCAATAATTATGAATACTTCACTTTTAGAAAATGACTAATTTATGATGTTTTTAATAAAAAAGATAAAAAGCGCGTACGTAAAGATATTTAGAATGGGGAAAAATGTGAGTCAAAAGAAAAATACATTAATATATTATGTCTTTGTTTATTCCTGAGTAGAAATGAGTTGTAATATGCTAAACTATCCTAATTTTATAGATGGCGTAAGTTATCGTTTTGAACCCGAATTAAAATTAAATGTGTCATCTGAAAAAATGACTGTGAATTTAAATTCAACAAAAGCACATGACTACATCTATAATATGCGGGTAGCTGTTATTCTACGTATTCCCTAGAATAAAAAATGATGTATACATATATAAATATCTATACTAATTAGTGGCGTAAGCAGGGATGGGCTAGTTAGATCACCGTTAATCATTGCTCGGGGATCCACGATTTTCTGGTTACGCTACTAATAATACTGGATAATACTATACAAAGATATATCAAGATAAAGAGAATATATAATCCAAAAGAGACATGACCATCTGTAGAGTATGATGGATATATAAGATATTTTATCTATATAAATTAAATTACTATGGAATGGTATACCTTGGGATAGTTATGTATTTATCAGATATTGATTTAGAATATATAATATAGACCTTTGAGAAACAAAGAGTGGTGATAGAATTTCTAATAAAGGACATCATAGATTTTATGAAGGTATATATTACGTGACGATTATAGTTAAAAATGTATTGAAAATAAATGAGCAATGTAAGAGCATTACGTCTATCAAGCTTTGTTAGGTGTCATATAATAGTCTCGTTTAATCATTTACTTCTTAGATTCTGAGTGCAAAAAATGAAGAGAGATAAATAATTAATATCATAATTCAAACTATATTTATTTCATAAAACAAAACAATTCTTTTATTTTTAATCATCGAAATATTTTTACAATGATGATCAACACGTCCACATGTTGTCATATTCCATTTTGTTAAAACTAAACTTAATGAATCAGCTAAATACATTGATTTTGATTCTTCATTAATTGAAATGTACGTTCTTGTATAGATCATCGTGCTGGAAATATAACGAAATCAGCAATTGCTGTACCCATTTTCAATGATGAATCCTTCGAATTAAATCACTTTTCTTTTTTTCATATGTTCAATACTTACAATATGATCAACAGATACAGAATTAATCACAATAAATTTGACGATAAAAATAGATATGTACCTACTGGTGTTTGAAAATCATGTGAATTTGCTAAACCATTAGCTCCTAAAACAAATAAATTTCGGATTTCTCTAAATTATATTTTCCTTACCAACAAGGATGATTATTAAATACTTAAAGTACATAATCACATGATGGTTCATTAATATGAATTGAAAAACGAATTCCTTGCTATATAAAAATAACTTTTCGGTTTTTTATTATTTCAAATAAGAAAATCAAGAAGCCTGTATAACACAAATTTCTTGAGGGTTAACAAGGGTATGGGCGTCTCTTATCTTAATCCACATTCACACCAGATAATTGTTCTTTATAGAGTCCAAAAGGACATTTTTAAGGTACATTCTTCAATCGTTAAAAATATTCAAAACAAAAAAACATCCTTTTTTAGTTCCAATTATTTACTTGGTATTGAAGTAATGCATCCGGACAATGTAGGTCTTCAGTAAATAGATGATTACCGAAACCATTAAGATACTAAATGAACAGTCAATAATAAAAAGAAAACAAAAGTCTGTTGTCTACTTTCAAGTCTTCCCAATCAGTTATTAGGAAATATTACGTTTTGATAAAGATACATATATCAATGTTGACATGCACTTCTGATTTATCTTTTTTCTTCTTCTTTATATTTTTTCTTTTCATGTTATTATCGATTATTCTTTACTTTCGAATTCTTATGCTTATATAAAAACAGATTATTGATGAGATTCGATTTCACAACCGATAATTTCATGTTTTTTCTTCTTTTTTTCGTTTTTTTTTTGTAAAAAGAATCATATAAAAAGTGCTATTTATAATGAATAAATATTGACCGTATAGAACAACAACATTAAGAAAATTAAAGTAGACATTTATGCATACTTGTCAAACGAGCTTGATCAAAGAATGGACATCTAGATTTTTCTTTTTTAAGCCATCCAATCATATATGTCAAAAGGGGAGACATGAAGGTGAATGTTTGTTATTGCGATCTGCATATGAAAGTATGATTTAAGACAGGCATCATATATACCATAAGACATACATGAATAAAGTCATAATAGAGTTGAAGAATTCAATCGTGTTTCTTTTTTTCAACTACAATACATTCAAACTATAGACAAAAGCAAATAATGTAAGCTATTACAAAAATGTATCGATCTGCCAATTCTTCTTTTTTCAAAAGAAAAGAAAATCAATATAAAATTTCTTATATATGTATTTATTTTCTTTTATATTACAGAACTACAATGGATATTGAATATACAGTAACAGAAAATATCGCTCGAAATCGTTCTGGACAAATCATATCAATAGATTATTCATTTGATGAGATACTTGTTATTGAAACACCAAGTTCCTCATCATCATCAGGTATAACAAGACAAAATAAAGAAAAACGAAATCGTTCATATGATGTTAAAGTAACACGTGAACAATATCAATCAATTATTGGTCAAAAAAGAGATAGTTTATCATTTGATGCATTTGTTGATGTTTTACGTCCTTTTATAATGGGTTATTATACAGATGATGAACTTGAACAAGCTTTTTATAGATTAGATCGTGATCGATCAGGTACAATACATTTAGATGAATTAAATTGTTTTTTACCAATATTAAATGATACAATCAATAATAATAATTTACAAGATTATGTACGAAAAGTTGATGAAAATTTTGATGGTACATTGAATTATGATGAATTTCGTACACTTGTTTTACGTGGTATTGGCCGAGATATTATTTGTAATCATATATAAACAAAAAGAAAAAGAATATGAACTATTTACTAAGTTTTTTTTCTTTTTTACTTAATTAATAAATTAGCTTGCTTATTCTCCTTTATCTTGCAAAGTTTAAGAATTTTACTTTTAATTATATTGATAATAAAATGAACAAAAAATATATCTATGCAGTGTTCTCAAATTCATATATGAGATTATTTTAATCTACGCTTTTTATTGATGCATCTTATATCAGATGAAGTATTTGTTTTGGTAAAATTTCAGAATATTATGAAAGTGACGAGATTTTTGTATTGATAAAACTATTCTTCAATTTTCATATAAACACTTGACTTTAATTTGACATTTGAAAAAAAATATTCATGATTTTATGATCAACTAAAAATATGTCTCAATCAAATTCAGCGGTGCAAAATCTGCCTGTTTGCGCCACCGTTTTTATTTTAGCGGAAGATTCTGCAATCGGCGAAATAAATTATTATCGTTAATTTAAAGCATGTTATATTTATCATCAACAACTGGTCGCACGTGTGATTGTAAAGACGGATGCAGTGCGAAATAATGACAATGTAAAAAAATAGCAGTTTTTATACTAGACAAAGTGTTTATCAAGATAAAAAAAGTTCTTAAATTCAGATTTTTTATATCATAACCCTTTCTTTCCCAATAGCACTTATAGATGCCACTTTTTAAAAATTTTCGTTTGCGTAATCTACAAAGAGTATATTAACTGTTTTTTTCTAACAGACTAAGGCACATCTATCGCAGATCTTATATCGACAATTCGAGCATTATACTCTTCATGAAACTTTGTATTTGTGGCTTAGGGAAATGTACTATGTTATGCTATGCTATGGAGCTGTACTATAAAAGAATCTTAACGCATCACCTATACCCACACCCACACCCAATACTGGTCTATATTGGAATTCTAATTTTATTAATACATATTGCTTCATCATAATTAGGTATGTACTCAATTCAAATTCAGATTTGAGGTTTCACATTAAACGATCTACGATCAATGTTGATCAGACATCTATTCAAGTTTTCAAATATCTCCAGTCTATGAATCATTTGTCTTATTCGAGCTAGCTTGAAAACCTCTTCTTTTTTGATAGCTGATAGAAAATAACCCGAATTGAGTTCGGTAAATGATTAAATTTATTGTATATACAAATATTTTTCTATTTATCATAATGGAACAAAATTATTCTATGAATATGATATGAAACATTATATATTTTTTTAAAATAACCATTGAATTTTAACGACAATTCTTATAATCAAAAACATACATTCATATGGTTGCCATTTATTGAGGTAAAATGTGGAAAACATTTGATTCGTCAATATATTACCAATGATAACGTTCTTAGTTTCAATACATTTTCATTTGAAATACGAAAGAAAATTTTGAATTATATAATATTTATTTATTTTTTTCGATGAACTATTTTTAACTTAATCATAGTTAGAAAAAAAAGTAAACATTAAAATAAACAGTAAACAATGAGAACTTATAAATAGAAAATATTGTCGCATTAATGTGTCTAATTTTAACATAGTCTTCTATCAATAAAACTTTTCAAGACAAATGTCATTAAAATTTGTTGAAGGTATGTGTAACTAGATAATAAGATCATATTTTTCTTTAAATATATATATTTATCCTATCTCATCTAGATGTTAATAGAAAAAAATTAAAAAAAAAAAAAAAAAAAAAAACTTACAATTTTCAAATGAGAAAATTTTGTTAACCCGTCTGTATCTTCATTCTAGATTCCTCCGTTATTATTGGGAAATATCTACTCCTGGTCTTCACACATCCGTCTGATCTCCCTCTCCTAATTCCTTGGGGTCCGAGATTTTCACCTTTATGTCAATTAAATTGACTTGGTTTAAAGAGGAAACATTATGTGTGTCCCTCTATGCATCACTATCATCGAACGTTCTCTCTCCTTTCGAGATAAATAAGGCTAATTATATA